CAATGTAAAGGTAACTTTAAAAGGAACACTGCAAGCCTCAAGTTCCTGCCTGATGATTTATAATGTTAGTCATCTTTTTTACAAGATAGTATGAAGAAGGTATTTGACAGCATATTTTAATATGTGGCGGAGTTCCATCCTAGGATCAGCTATGATTCTGTTGAATGGTGGAATACGCTTGAGGGGCTGAATGGCCTATTTCCTATTTCTCATGGTCTTATTATTGTGACTATTGTCTTCATCCTGCTGGTACTGATGGCAGAGACGGTATCACAGAATCACAAAATTGTTACAGCATGGAAGGAGGCTTCAGATACATGGGAACAACATCACCTCTAAGTTACCCTTAAAGCCACACATCATCCTTACTTGGAAATGTATCACAGTCCTGTCAGCGTTGCTGGGTCAAAATCTTTAAGGTCCCTCCTTAAAAGCATAGCAGGTCTTCCTGTAACAATTGGAATGCACTGTTTCAAGAAGGCAGCTCACCACCATCTTCTCAAGAACTAATGCTTCGCCCCCAGTTTCTCCCCAACAATCCTACACCACTTCTTTTTCAGATAAAGATTGAATTCCCTCTTGAAATTTTCTCTTGATCCTGTCTGTAGCACACATTTTCAGGTGCTGCAAACCAAATTTTAATCGCTTGCTTAATCACCGTGAAAATCTTTTGCTTAGATCCCCATTGTTTCTTCTTCCAACCACCTTAAACCTGTGCAGTTTCAGTCTTGATCCCATCTACCAATGGAAACATTGGGATGAATTGCATCGGAACTCACTGTCATTTCCAGTGAGTTTCATGGAGGGTTTTTGTCTATGGGGTCCAGTGAGTTTTATCATGCTATTGTCCTAAACTCACCTTATTAACTATGCGTCATACACCTATGACATCCCACTAGCTGAAGGAGGAAGTATTCATCATTACCAGGATATCCTAGGACTGGCACCATCTCTCAAAAGGCTGTTGTGTATCCAGTCAAGTGCTGATGGTTTGGATTTTCCCTGCACATTTTGAGTAACTTGCTCCGGACATGGCAGATAAGGGGAAATTGGCACCATGTTTTTCTGGCAGGGACCTGGAGGTCCTAATGTATGGGTGGTGCTGAGGATGGTAGTCCTTGTCCCTAAGACTAATAGAACAGGTCACAACCTCAGAACTTGCCAGACAGTTACAATGTTGACACCTGTGTCACTGAGGTCACCATTCGCTGGAGGACCACCCAGCAGTGTTAGAAGGTCAATGACTTTCTGTGCTCTGCCAGGGTAAGTGTCACCTCTGCTACCTCACACTCACTCTAACTCTGCTACTGCAGACACCTCCTACCAAGACTCATGGTCTGTCATGTCACTGCTGCATCTTCCCTCACTCACTCTCACCCATCCTAACACCCTAAACAATTAACCCTGTATGGTCTCTACACTGCCTACTCACTCACCCTTGACACCTCACCACCAATATTCACAATTGTGCCAGTCATTTTCACTCACACAATTCCTCACTTTTTCTCCTGGAATGAGACAATCCATAATAACGTGGAGAGGACCAAGGCAGGTGGTGAGATTCCCAAAATTCAGCTCCTCTTTGCAAAGGGAATGTATTGGCCTAGACCAGGACCATTCCCATGGAGATGCCAAAATGTCTATGTCCTAACAATCAAGTTAGAAGCATTGGCCACTGCTGTGCTGTTTTCCCATTACCACCATGGCGAATGTGGTCTTTGTGTGCCCAAACATCTATTCCTCGTTTGTACTGCATTCCATTTTTTGTCTCCAGCAAGTAGCTGTGGAACGAGCATCTGCTCCATGATCGCACAAAGTAGCCCCCCTGCACCTCTAGAGAAGGAAGCACACTACCTCAAAGGAAACAGCAGCAAGCCTACTTCCTGCACCCTCTACCAGTTCAGGTACTGGCAACTTGGTGCGTACATCAGCTAGATTAGGAAGGGCCTGGTAAGCACATCAATGCCATGCCTCCGCAGCTGGTCAAGGGAGAAACATCCAAGGTTGCTGGCACTCTCAGGACTGTCACAGAACCTGGTACTTGTCAAGGAGAGGTCCCCATTAACAACTTCATTCAGATGCACAAGCAGACACAGGGGCAGCAGGCAGGTTTGACCAGGGCAGTGGGCTCAGAGTCAGGTTCTTACCCATAAGTGTACACATTCATTTCTTGGGAGCCCTCATCAACTCCATTGGCTTTAAACTTATCACATTCCCACTCAACTAACTCTTGGTGTGACATTGAAATCCCTGACCCAAAGTACATTTTGTGCCCTTGCCTTAGTCGTTGCTTCAAACGTTGTTCAACATGAAGGAGTACAGATTCATCAGTCAAGGGAGGATGGTACGTGGTAATCAGCAGGAGGTTGGAGTCAACAATCCGAATGGCCTCTTCCTGCACTGTGGAGATTCTACGATTCTATAATACGGGGTTACGGGGATAGGTTAGGGATCTGGGTGGGATGCTGTTTGGAGGGGTCAGTGCAGACTGTAGGGATTCCATTCTGAGATTCTCAGTTTCCTTGCCCTTGTTTAACCTGAAGCCATGAGACTTCATGGGACTCACAGACAATGTTGAGGACTCCCACGGCAAGTCCCTCCCAACTGTTCTGCCACCTCTACTGGGTCTGTCCTGCCAGTGAGACAGGACACATTCAAGGATGGTGATGGTGGTGTCTGGGACATTGTCTGTCAGGTATGATTCCATGAGTGTGACTATGGGAGGCTGTTGCTTGACTAGTCTGTCAGGCAGCTCTCCTAATTTTGGCACTAGTCCCCAGACGTTAGTAAGGAAGACTTTGCAGGGTTGACAGGGCTATTTTTGCCACTGCCTTTTCTGGTGCCTAGGCTGATGCCAGGTGGTCCACCTGGTTTCATTTGTTTGTTGAGACTTTGTATCAATCACTACTACTGAGGCCGCTTCAGGGGGTAATTGAGAATTTACCACATTGCTATGGGTCTGGAGTCACATGTAGGCCAGCTCAGGCAAAGATTGCATATTTCCAACCTTCCTTTCACATTCATGAGCCAGATAGATTTTTCCGCTAATTGACAATGGTTTCTTCAGTAGATTCTTAATTTCAGATTTTTTTACTGAATTTAAACTCCACCATCTGCTGTGGGGGATTTGAAGCCGGGTCCCCAGAGCATTAGCTGTCTAGTGATAATATTACTGGAGATGGCCAAGAAATTATTGGTCTTTGATGCTTTAAGAAATTGTAGGAATGTAATGGGAAAGATAAAAATATAGATTGGCTTTATTTATAAAGGAACACATAATTGTTAGCAGAATCAAAAAACATTAAAATCAAGGAAGGTAAAATCCTAAATCGGTATTTGCCTAAACCAGCTAGCCAAGTTTAGCAAAAGGCTCCTTGTTGTCCTGGATGAGAAAGCTGTTGCTTTCAGTCATTGATTGGTGACTAGTTTGCACATGGGGTCTACAGCCTGCTGTTCTACAGCAACCTTCTTTTCAGCTTGTACAATATATTTTGAGGTCCTTTAAGAACACATTGATCTTTAACATTAGAGTTTATCAATTAAACAATTAAAATTGTGAGGGATTGGTTCACTTGCTTCACACTAGAATCTGGCCAACTATAATCTTAAATTCCGAGTAGCTAGGGCATGTACTAGAAGCTGGTAAATTTCTTTTCCAAGATACAGATACAGGTGTTAATGTCATCACCATGACCTGACTGCACCTTTTTTAAAACCCGAGGTTTGAGCCAGGCAACATGCTGGGAAAACAAACCAGGGCCATGCAAATCTAGGCAAGTGTAAATAATCTATTGATTTCCTTGAGACATTGGATGCCCTGCCCCACAACGAAGACATAGGCCTTTCTGGCTCACTAGATTTCCCTTTCCAAGCTCACTAATCCACTTGCATCACACCAGGAACCGTTGTCCTTAGAGCCCAATGGCTACCTCTGTGCTATTCTATTTTAACACGCAACTGTGTCCTGTCAGTTCCCCAACTATTTTTGTTAGTCAATATTGTTCTATCGAGATCCAGCTATTAATACTCGCTTGAACCTTCTTGTTGATTTTTCTGAATGGACCAGCCACCAAGAGATCGCATTCCTTCCTGGCTGTAAACATCAGCTGAGATTTAAGCATTGTTGTTTAGAAAGACTACAAAGAGTTAATCATTTTAAGAACTCTGATATTGGATTTCTTTTGCACACAGTTAAGAAAACAAGAACAAAACCAGCGCACATAATGGATTACAAACATTTAAGTAGAACATTATGGCATTATGTACTCTTTTAAATTAGTATTGCTCAATATCAGAGGTTTTTAAGGTGTTTTCTCATGAGTTATATACAAGATCTCAGTTTTTCAGGAGGGGAATAGCCAACTTAGGTTTTTGGCCTGGACATTGGGTTAAGCCAGTGTTTGCAACACCACATCACCACTGACTCTAAGCACATATCAGGTCCAGATCCTCAGAATGTATCTCTAGCCCATTTTTATCTGTACCCTGTCTCGAGGTTGCTCTTGCACCTCAGCTTATAACATCAGTACTCAACAGTATTTAATTGCATTGACTTCTAATTTAGTCTGCATTTTCCAACTCTGACACATGTGGTGACATGTAGAAGATGTCTCAGTTTCAGCATAAGACAAAATTCAAAGAAATATTTGAACAATATTGTGATATCCTACTAATATCACTTTTTTAAAAATGGGTAAAAGGGAAGAGGTGACATCCATTGACATTACAGCCCAACTAAAAAACCTAGCCAGTAATGGAAATTTGAATTAACATTGTTTATAATTTCATAATTTTGCCTTGTGGTACAATACTCATAGCAAAATTAGGACTGAGATAACAGAAATTGGACAGTCAGCTTTTCGGCTCACTGCGGATGTTATAAATTACTCAAGACCAAGGAAGAGATATTCTTAGCTATTGATACTGATGTGAATTAAATGAGCTACCCATACTGTTCCTTGTCTGACAGACTATAAATAAGCATGGAATGCATGCCCTTGTGTTAAGGAGAACTTCCTCAGAAGAAAAACTATGCATTAAACGTGGCACATTAAACCAGCAAATCATTTAGTTGGAAAGGACTTTGTACTGAGTGGCCCTTTAAACAGTGCTGAGCTGACAATGTACTGCTAGTTTAGTCTGTTGTCTTCCATCAATTGATATTAATCAATAACTGGGCCTTTTGAGGATATGAAACAATTTTCTTCTGTGTTGATGCACTTCTTAAAGCTGCACATTGCTTCAATTGCAAGTAATTAACTGCAGAAAACCAAAAATCCGTTAAAGAATCCGTTTGATAAAACAGCAAGTTAGCCAAGTACAATATAGTGCACAAATAAACCGCAATCCTCCTTACAATATAACACAAGTTATGTCTGAATAATTGATTTAAATAGCAGATGTGAAAATTACATTACACATTGTTGACAAATTTATTCTTGCTTTATTTGTCCATGTTTTGCTGCACCAGTAGAATCCAGGAAGATCTCTTCCACATACTGTAAAAATGATTTAACAGTAAGTTTTAATTTAAATGGTGATGTTTCATATCTGATGGAAGAATGCATTTGATTTGCAACTATTTACTATATTAAAATGTCATTTTGCTTATCTCTTAAAATTTGATGCACAAGAACTCAGTAACAAACAACTTCCTTTAAAATGATTAAATGATAATTCTAGAAATATCTGACAACAAATAGCTAAATTTGTATGAAAAATAGGAGTTTCATTCTTGGTGAAAAATGACTTATTTATTGTTTTGCATATACTGATTTGACATACAATTTCAGCCATAGTATAGCACCACAAAAAGTGTGTAGAGATATTTTAGTTAGAGGGAATGATTCACAAACATGGGACATGGCTCGTACTTGTCCACAAGATCAATTGTGCCATCACAGTTGTCCCATTTGCAAGGCCTGGAAGTACACTATCCAAGTTCTTGTTGAAGGCAGTTTAAACGTACACAACTCCAATCTAGCCAGCTAATTCCTTCTGACAGACTGGGGTCAGAAACAACTTGACAATTTTAGTAGCATCGGGTGTCCAATCTTCATGTCAACAACTTGATAAAGAAAAGGGAATAAGAAGATTGGCAATAGTGGGTGTCTTGAAGTGAGCTGTTCTGCTAGTGGACAGAAGAAATTAGAATGACTAAATTATGTTGCCAATTCAAAGATTATTTACTGATTTTGCTACCACATCTTCAATGAGATGCAGAGTAGCTATCTTGCAGAGAACTGGTAATCACGGAGGGAGAATAGAAAGTAATGAGCCTGAGAAGATGCATAGTTGCATATAAATGATTATTGACCAGCATAGTATGAAGGTAGCTGCCAAATAAAAGTATAATTTTTGTAAGCAAATAACAGAGCTCAGGAGAAAAGAAGTGTAAATTGAAGGTTTTCTGCTGTAGGCAAAACTGGCAAGATTGGCCAAAAGCTTATTTTAGGGTCAGCATAAACTGCAGATACAAAGCTATATAGTGTCTATCAGACTTGAAGCGATCTGTCTCGAGTTGGCAATGACTCAGAAACACTATTCTCAAATTAAATCAAGAGACAAGTGTGGAGGGTACTGATTTCCCCATGTTGACCAGGAAAAAATATCACTCCTGTAGATCCTAATCTGGCAGTGCAGAGTAGAATGTCGCAGAAAACCCATTGCAAATTTGGTGAGAAGCAATGCAATACTTGAAAGACAAGTACCTCAAACATTAGCTTTGAATAATATCTGTGAAGGTCTATGAGCACTTAAGTACAGTTTGGTGTGATTATGAAATCTTCAATGTATTCTGCATGCTTTTGAGAGAAAATTGGACAAACTGTAAATGCATGGGCTCCTTGAAAAGAAACCAAACAATAAAACTAATTCAATAAAGCTCACTCAACTTTCTTTGTGTGAAATGTTTTTATGGACATATGAGTGAAAAGAAAACCAATGCATTATCTGTCTGGTGATGGTTAAATGCATAGCATCCTTCAACACTTGATCAAAAAAGTTTTTTTTAATCAAACTGATTTCATAGTGAAACTCAAGTTGTTAATTTAGGAGGACAAATTGTATAAACTGAGTTTATATTCTCTAGAGTTTTAGAATTTTGAGGAGGGATTATCAAACTCTTTAAAATGGCAAAGGGTTTCAATAGAGTATGTAGAGAGAAACTATTTCTTCTGGTGGAGAAGCCAGACCACGGGTGAATAATCTTGCAACTAAACTTTGCACTGCAATATAGATGTGCACTGAGTGAGTGATCATGCTTTGGCTGTGTAGGTGTGGGCTGTGAGTTTGTGATGCAAACTGTGAGAAATTGAGTGGGTGATCCATCCTCCATAATGTACCAAACGATAATGACCAAGCAGCACGCACAGTGAATGCAGTCATGTTGAAAGAAACAAATAATTTGGAAATTCTGTGCAGCAAATACTGTCCAAGGTACAGTCAAGTCTGTGAATTACTTAATAGGCACTGTTAGAGCTCAGAAAGCATTTTGCCACCCTTTGGGTATAAACCAGTACAAATGGATATCAATTCCTGGGCTTAACTGTTACTAGTTTGTTAAGGCAGCCCTCACCTTTAGTCGCTAGTGGCTGCTTGGAAGTCAAATTAATCTAATATCCAAAAAAGTTGCAGAATACTTTTACCAAGTAATGTAATGCCTTTACTTCACAGGTTTGTTTTTTTTTCCCCTGGAAGTGTTTACAATGACCTAAACCAATGGGCCTTCAAAGAAACTCTGGAGGTCAAAGAAGAAACATAATACCTTGCCTTAACAAATCTTCCTGAATGTAGAGCAAGAGAAAGCAGGAGTACTCCTCATGTTTCCACATTATTCCTGTGGAATAATCAGGAACAGTAACTGTGATTTATCGCCACCCACCGCTCTTATAATCTGTCGCCACAATTCACATTTTAAAAAGGATGTCAGCCAGTATCCAAGCTGGACAATTTTTTCATTCCCCTGACGAAGAAAATACCTCTGTGACCTGATCACAGACAGGGGCAAGGTTAGAAATAAATGGCCCCATTCTGGCCAGAGCCCCGATTATTGGGTCCTGATGTACACCCTTGACCTGGGTCCTGTTCACAGTACACAAGTCCCCTTCTTATCATGCAAGAAGTTCATTATCACGTAGTTGTCCTGTCCACTGATTAAGATTATGTGACAGTTGTTACATCTGCTTGCTATTCACTGGAAAAATGACAGCAAATAATTACTAAGCTTCTGTTCAAGTGTGGATGATTTTCAGGAGTGGCAATGCTTGTTTGCATTTTGTAAAAGATCTGCATGGTATGCATCAAATTATTTAGGGTGAACCCCGTGCATTGGCAGATTGATGCATATAAGTAGCTAGTTATAATAGTGATGACAGAGAATTATACTGCCACCAGGCACAATCCAAAGAGAAGGCTGAGGAGCAGTATTCCAGACCTCCAGCAACTACAGTTGAGAAGGTGAGTAGATGACTGCAACACAGTCTCCATTAACTAGGGCAAACACATAGTCCATGTAAGTTTTTTTTATTATCAACAATGTTTTGTGATGACAGGGCCCATTATCATGTGTTTATACTTGACAGTAGATGCCCTATTACCTATTACACAGCATCATGTGTATTCAATATATAAAAACATCACAACGTTTAACAGAGGCATCATTAAAACAAATGAACATTGGCGGTAAAGGAGAAACTCTTATGAAACATGACCAAAATCTGAGCATAAGATACTGTTTAAAGTGCATCTCCTGGAGGAGGAGAGGCTGGTCGAGGGGGGTTTCCAGAGTATGGGACAAAGGCAGATGAAGATGTAGTCACCAACGGTAGGGCGAAGGCAGAAAGTATACAAAAGATGCTGCAGTCAGAAAAGGTAACATTTTGGAAGAGGCTTGTATCAGAGCAAAAAGGTTATAAAGATTGTATTCTCAATGTTATAGAGAGAATTAAACACAAGGATGAGATTGTTACATTTGAGGCATTGGGGATTTGACCCAGTACAGGGTTAATGAATAGAAGAACGATGGGCAAGCAGAATTTAGTGTAGGTATAGACATCAGAATTTGAAATGAGCCAACTTTAATGCAGAAGGCTAGGGAACCATTAGATTAGCCATTGGAAGGTGACAAAGATGTTTATCGGCATTGGTACTATTATCTTGCATGATTAATAGTTGTTAAATATTCTGATTCAGCAACAGTACAAGATCCTTGTAAATGAGGCAGGGATCTCAGAGGCAACTATTAACTCTTCTGTCCATTTGAGAGTTAGCAGTTTTGCATTAGTGGCACTGTACATTGCCACCTCCTCAATAAGAAACTAAAAAAAATACTTTAAGTTATCCTGTATGACTTTCGGGGCTATGTTGTCCTTTTCATTTTGTTTTTGAATCTTGTGTGCTAAGTGTCGCCGCCTCCTGGACAGCAGCCATCTCTTAATTGCTCTCTAAAGCAGCACTTCTCATTCTTTTCCCATTGCAGTTATCTGCATTTTCTCAGTCAGCTGTAATATTTTTATTTGTGTCAGTGCACAAATTTATTATAGTATTTGTTTTGCTAAGATACTGCAAACATTCCAGCTCAGTGTTGATTGAGTGGCTTAGCTTATTGCTTTAATTAAGATGCTGCAGTATGAAATGTGTAGTTAGAGAACATGTGAAGGCAATTACAAAACCATGATACCTTAATGCCACGAGCTGGGATATTTGCTTGTCAATTTTAATTGTTGTAATTACATTTGCTTTCATAAATAAATCACACATTAGATTAGAAATGTTATAAGAAACATACCCATACTCATTAAAAAATGTTGCTTTTTCGCTTGTGTGGTCCTAGGAGCATGGTGGGCAGGTGAAATTAATATTCCTCTAAGGGACAAATCAATTGTATAATAATTAGCAAACTGTTCCTTAAAAGATCCTATTTGCTAGATTCTTTACACTGACTTTGCAAAACCAGCAATAAGTTATTTTCCGATATTTCATTGTGCCCTCATTAATACTCATATGCACAAATACTTCCTTTTCTCTCAGGCAAGATCCTATTTGAATTTGGTGAGAATATTTTATGTATTTTTGCTAACAACAGTGAAGTAGACCACAGCTTGATTAATTAATGAGAGGAATGATTTTAAAACTTGCAGGCTCATGTTGAAATTACTTCACGATTCCATCCCTTCGAATTTTTGTAATCTTCTTCAGACCCCTTCGTCCTGGACTCCAAATCATCCCAAATTTTAATTTTTCCATGCACCTGAATCAAGATGACCAGTGTGGCATGTTCTGAATTCCCTCCAAATACCTCTCTGCTTCTCTTTCCCTTTTTAAGGAATTCCATAAAACCTAACACTTTGAAGAAGTTTTCGGTTATCTGATTTCATTGGTAAAATTTTGTGTGTCCCACACTGGGAAGGTGGCACAAATCTGATATAAAATCAAGTATCATGACAGTGGTCCATGTAATCTGGTAATCATCTAACCTTGGGTAAATTGCAGCACTTAAGTGAAGATCACTAATAGCCATTTGACACCAATGCCTATGTTTATTAATCCATGTTATGCAGCAAGGCCACCAGGATTCACCAGGCAACTTTTTGTAGGTGGGGAGGGAGCCATCCCTTCTGTATGGGTACTCTATATGTAAAGGAAGCCCCATTTCATGGTATTGCAGCTTGATCCATTACCATTACCATTGGATGTTTGATTGCCCCATTCTCTTAAGCCTGATCTTCCAACACTCCACCTCATTGCAGCATGCTCAGACAGACCTGGCAGAGGTCCTCAACTTACTTTCTCATACTAACAATGGTGTTGAAACTGTTGGAGACTGCCTGCATTCTCCGCAACAGTCACCACACCCTGTGCTGTTGATGGAACTAGAGAACCGTCAGCCATGATTGGCTTGCAGCGTGTGGAGGGAGTACTTCCTCCCGAATGGGAGGGATGTCTCACCCTGAGTTAAATAGAGGCTTGTTCAGAGTGAAATCAGCTTGGAATGACTCAACCAAATACAGGAGGCTCTGGGCTGGAACCACAGCCTTCAAATAAAATCTTCTTAAGTTGTCTGGGACAATTACTAAATTAGCTATAATTAGGATCTCAATCTATCAGGGAAAATTACCCTTTGTCACAATGGAACTATTCTTCATGCAATGCCAATCAATCAATTTCTCTCTAACAGAAGAATAACAGGAGGGCTCTTGTGGTGAAATGGGTAGTGTCAGGAGGCTTAGCTTCAAGTGCTATGTGCTCCAGTGGAGTGCCAGAACATTGAAAGTATCGAGAAGGATAACAAGCCCCACTATCAATAGATTAGACTCATGCTCCGCACTCCTGACACATCCAGTTGTGAACAGTACTGCACAATTCGACAACTGGCTGGAGGAGAGGCTTGTCACAAATATCTCCTCAATGATGTCCACTACATCACTACAAAAACAATGGTAATCATCTTGCTAGTATTGCTATCAAGACTGATAATATTCCAACAATAGCAATGTAGTAATCCAGAACTAGCCAGGTCCCTGAACTAGTACTACAGCTACTAAAACAAACACTTAGCTACCTGATAAAATTGTCCAGGTATACCCTATCCACAAAAAAGTAGGACAAATCCCACCTGATCAATTATCACTATATTGGATTGTTCTTGGTTATCGAAGTGATGGAAAAGGCCATCAACTGTGTTCTTGCTTAGCTCAAAGACACTCAATTGGGGTTCTGCCAGGGCCATTCCATGCCTGACCTCATTAAAGCCTTGGTCCAATCATGGACAAGAGAGCTGAGCTCCAGAAGTGAGGGGAGAGTAACTGTCCTTTCCATTACGATATTTGACAGAGTATGGCATCAAAGAGCCCAGCTATTGAGTCAACATTAAGTGGGGAAAACACTTCAATGGTTGGAATCATGCTTAGATGGTTGAGGTAGTTAGAGGTCAATAATTTCAGTCCTGGGCGAAGAAGAGTTTCTCAGGGTAGCGGCCTAGACCAAATCATCTTCAGCTACTTTGATGAACGTCCTTCTATCAGATGGTCAGGAGTTCATACTTTTGCTGATGATTACAGTGTTTGGCACCTTTAATGATGCCTCACTTACTTGAGCAGTCTTTGTCCATATTCAGCAAAACCGGGACAACATCCATTCTTGGGTTGATAAGTGACAAGTAACATTTGCACCACATTAGCGCCAATCAGATAATCTAATTGTCAGTGGTATTACCATCACTGAATTCCCCACTACCAACATTCCAGGAGTCAATGTTAACCAAAAACTGAACTAATCCAGCCAAGTAAATACTGCGAATACAAGAACAGGTAGAAAATTAGAAATTCTGCGGTGGAGTAGCTCATCTCCCGACTCCCCAAACCACATAGAAGACACAAGTCAACAGTATAATGGAACACTGTCCAGTTGTCTTGATCAGGGCACCTTCAACTCAAGAGACAGGACACCATCCAGGCCTGTATGATTGGTACCCCTTCCATTGTCTTCATTATTCACTCCTCTCATCACCAGCGCACAGTGGCAGGTGGGTGTACCATCTACAAAATGCATTACAGTTACTCACCAAGACTCCAACAACAGCTTGCAACCTCTATCATCTAGGAGGATAAGGACAGCATATACATGGGAACACCATCAAGTGACACACCACCCTAACTTGGAACAGCACCATTGCCCTTCACTACTGTGGAGTCAAAATCCTGGAACTCACTTCCTACTAGCACAGTGGATGTCCCTACCCCCTGGGGGATGCAGCAGTTCAAGAATGCAGCTCTCTACCACCTTCTCCATGGAGATAGACTTAGCCAGATAGAGCCTCCACGCTTACTTCTTCAACCGTGAACCTAACCCTCCCTCTACTGACGCCTTCTCCCACTTCCAACACACCCCCTCCTCCTGGACATCACCCCAAAGCCTCCTACCCTCCCTCGACCTCTTCATCTCCAACTGCCGTCGAGACATCAATCGCCTCAACCTCTCCACCCCTCTCACCCACTCCAACCTCTCCCCCGCAGAACGTGCAACCCTCCGCTCCAATCCCAACCTCACCATAAAACCCGCGGACAAGGGAGGCGCAGTTGTAGTATGGCGCACTGACCTCTACATCGCCGAGGCCAGACGCCAACTCTCTGACACCTCCTCCTACCGCCCTCTTGATCGTGACCCCACCCCTGAGCACCAAACCATCATCTCCCAAACCATCCACAACCTCATCACCTCAGGTGACCTCCCACCCATGGCCTCCAACCTCATCGTTCCCCAACCTCGCACTGCCTGCATCTATCTCCTTCCCAAAATCCACAAACCTGAATGCCCTGGTCGACCCATTGTCTCCGCTTGCTCCTGCCCCACCGAACTGATCTCCAACTATCTGGACTCCATTTTCTCCCCCTTGGTCCAGGAATTCCCTACCTATGTCCGTGACACCACCCACGCCCTCCACTTCCTCCAGAACTTCCAATTCCCCGGTCCCCAACACCTCATCTTTACCATGGACGTCCAGTCCCTCTACACCTGCATTCCCCATGCAGATGGCCTAAAGGCCCTCCGCTTCTTCCTGTCCCGCAGGCCCGACCAGTCCCCCTCCACTGACACCCTCATCTGCTTGGCCGAACTCGTCCTCACCCTCAACAACTTCTCTTTCAATTCCTCCCACTTCCTACAGACAAAGGGGGTGGCCATGGGTACCCGCATGGGCCCAAGCTTCACCTGCCTCTTTGTAGGTTACGTGGAACAATCCCTCTTCCGTACCTACACCGGCCCTAAACCCCACCTCTTCCTCCATTACATTGATGACTGTATCGGCGCCGCCTCGTGCTCCCACGAGGAGCTTGAACAGTTCATCCACTTCACTAACACCTTCCACCCCAACCTTAAGTTTACCTGGACCATCTCTAACACCTTTCTCCCCTTCCTGGACCTCTCTGTCTCCATATCGGGCAACCACCGAGAAACCGATATTCATTTCAAGCCCACCGACTCCCACAGCTACCTGGAATACACCTCCTCCCACCCACTTTCCTGCAAAAATGCTATCCCCTATTCATAATTCCTTCGCCTCCGCTGCATCTGCTCCCAGGATGAGGCATTCCACTCCCGTGCATCTCAGTTGTCCTCGTTTTTCAAGGACCGTAACTTCCCCCCCTCAATGGTCGAGAACGCCCTCAACCATGTCTCCCACATCTCCCGCAACTCATCCCTCACACCCCATCCACGCAATAAGAACCAAAAAAGAATCCCCCTCGTCCTCACGTACCACCCTACCAACCTCTGGATCCAACGCATCATCCTCCGACACTTCCGCCACCTGCAATCCAACCCCACCAAAGACATCTTTCCCTCCCCACCCTTATCTGCTTTCCGGAGGGACAACTCTCTCCGTGACTCCCTTGTCCGCTCCACACTCCCCTCCAGCTCCACCACACCCGGCACTTTTCCCTGCAACCGCAGGAAGTGCTACACCTGCCCCCATACCTCCTCCCTCACCCCCATCCCAGGCCCCAAGAAGACTTTCCACATCAAACAGATGTTCACCTGCACATCTGCCGATGTGGTATACTGCATCCGCTGTACCCGGTGTGGCTTCCTCTACAATCGGGGAAACCAAGCGGAGGCTCGGGGACCGCTTTGCAGAACACCTACGCTCGGTTCGCAATAAACAACTGCACCTCCCAGTCGCGAACCATTTCAACTCCCCCTCCCATTCCTCAGACGACATGTCCATCCTGGGCCTCCTGCAGTGCCACAACGATGCCACCCGAAGGTTGCAGGAACAGCAACTCATATTCCGCTTGGGAACCCTGCAGCCCAATGGTATCAATGTGGATTTCACAAGCTTCAAAATCTCCCCTCCCGCTACCGCATCCCAAAACCAGTCCAGCTCGTCCCCGCCTCCCTAACCTGTTCTTCCTCCCACCTATCCCCTCCTCCCACCTCAAGCCGCACCCCCACCTCCTACCGACTAACCTCATCCCGCCCCCTTGACCTGTTCGTCCTCCCTGGACTGACCTATCCCCTCCCTAACTCCCCACCTACACTCACCTTTACTGGCCCCATCCCCGCCTCTTCGACCTGTTTGTTTCCTCTCCACCTATCCTCTCCTCTATCCATCTTCTATCCGCCTCCCACGCTCTCCCTATTTATTTCAGAACCCCCTTCCCCTCCCCCTTTTCTGATGAAGGGTCTAGGCCCGAAATGTCAGCCTTTCTGCTCCTATGATGCTGCTTGGCCTGCTGTGTTCATCCAGCCCTGCACCTTGTTGTCTTAGATCAGATGTGGTACTACCTAAGCCACTCTTAGTGATGGACATTAACATCCTTTACCCACAATCAATTCTATGCCCTTCCTTCAAGTGATATTTGAAATGGGGAATATTTATCCAAGGGCAAGCAGCAGGTGGTAATCAGCAGGAGGTTTTCTTGCTATGTTTGACCGGATACCATGAGACCTCATGGGGTCTGGGGTCAATGTTGAGGACTCCCATAGCATCTCTTTACTGACTGTATACCATTTTACTACCACCTCCAGTGACTCAGTCCTGCTGGTGGGACAGGACATTTCCAGGGATGGTGGTGACATCTATAGGGCATGATTCTGAGTACTACTTGTTTGGTTACTCTGTTGGACAGCCTTCACAATTTTAGCAAAAACCCCAAGATGTGGTCAACAGGGCAGTTTTTTTGACATTGTCTTTTCGGGTACCTGGGTTGATGCCAGGTGGATTGTCTAATTTCAATTCTTTCTTAGACTTTGTCAATTTCAGAGGGCAGTTGTGAGTCAACCACCGTTGCTTTGGGTCTGGAGTCAAATGCAGGTCAGACCAGGATGCAGGGCAGCAAATTATGTTCCCTAAAGGATAGTAGTAAAACGAATCGGATTTTACAACAAATCAACAATGGTTGCCATTAGACTAGATTTCTTTAATTCTTGAATTTTTTTAATGAATTAAAATTTCACCATCTGCCATGGTGGGATTCTGACCCATGTCCCTACAGCTTTAGTTTGGGGCTCTGGATTGCTGGTCCAGTGTCAATGCCATTTTGCCACTACCTGCCAAAATCATAGTATGAATGAAATTGTTATTGTAAATTTGGAATTGCTTATTGCTGTACTATTAGGACTTTTTATTCCCGGAAACTGTTACTTCGTCGTTACTACGGGACTATTGACCTTCAGGCAGTATGCCTGGTGTTTCGGCTATATACTTTTGGAATATAATAACACTTAGCTCACTTACTGAATCTTCTCTTTTCATTTTTGTTTTTATGTTCATTTGCTTATTAAAGAGCAAAGCAGGAATCCAGTTACTTGTCCATATGGGATAATAAATACTCAGGGGCCAGGAAGATCACAAAGGAATTTACCTGTGAATTACTGAAAACCTGTGTTAATGAAGATTTCTATTTACTACACCATCTACTAGATATAGATTCCAAAGCATTTGCTAACTAAATTAAAACTAAATTATTAAAAAATTTAAAATTAAATAAAATTATACAACTAATTATACAGTGGGCTTGTGCTTTGAAATTAAGTGAAATTATCCACTGACAATCAATTTACTTTGATATTTAACTACCATATATCTATAAACGTATTCTTTGACAGAAAATGTTACTCCAAGATTAAGACCACATTCCGAAAAAGATGCATCAATACAAAAGGTTAACCCTGAATCGGTTTCCACAGGTTTTGGCAGAACCACTGAGCTTTCTTTTTCCAGAAAATCCATTTTTAATTAAGACAGAGATAGTGGGAACTGCCGATGTTGGAGAATCTGAGATAACAAGGTGTAGAGCTGGATGAACACAGCAGGCCAAGCAGCATCAGAGGAGCAGGAAAGCTGACGTTTTGGTCTAGACCCTTCTTCAGAAGTGCTTTCTGTTTTCGTGAATGAACATAAATGCAGATTTTTCAAAGCACAGATACTTACCGCTGAGGCTCTTTCCTGTGCATCAATACTTGCTAGTAGATTTTGGACTCTCTCATGAATTCTGTCCCAGGCAGGGTGGCTCACTGGATCAAAATAAAACCTTTTGAGAAACAAAATACAATTTTAACAATGGCATTTACGGTACTTCCTGATCATTAAAACGAGTTAAATGTCCTAGTAGAATATATGATAGTTTTGTTTTTTCTTGCAATTTTTGTTATATTACATCAGTGTTACAGAATAGAGTTATCTTACCCTTCTACTGCGAAAGCAGAGACAATAGTTGGACGTTATACTTCGCCACTATCATGTTTAAAGTTGGGATGGCCCATTAAATGCAACACATGGCGTGTCCACAGCCTTCCTGCCTGTCTCCCCAAAATCCCTCTCCCCCACAACAACCTGTCTCAGTTTTCATAGGTTGGGGGAGGTGGGGGGGCTGAGAGCTGGGGTGAATACATTAGGCTGTCCATCCTCCACTCGCCCTTTGACCTACTGAGGCCCTTAAGGCGCCAAATAATACCCAACTAACTACCTAATCATACTCCCACCGCAACGTTATCTGTGGGGAGGCCCATGTCAAATGTGTAGCCTGCAGATTTGCAAGGCAGGCTGAGGTCATGCAAAGTATGCAGGGTACCTCCTTTGGGGGTACCTGGTGGCCATCAGAAGGACCTCCAACCCCAAGGTCATATCTGCCTCTTTAATCCCCCCAACCAGCCCCTCCAAACAGGTCTACCACCTACTTTACCCAGCTCACTGGGTCTGCCAGCATTCACTCACCAATACATCACAGGCCATCAGTTTCATCTCCAATACCACACCTTCACATGCCAGAGAGGATTTGCATGCAAGGCTTACTTTATTATGACGTTGGTGAGCATCATGGAGAAGCTGACAAGCAGACTGCTGAGCAGAAGTCAGGAATGTCTTGCCCATAAACTCTATGCAGCGGTAGCAAGGACTCCACGTCAGGTCCTTGTGCTTCTCAAGTCGGCAGGAAGATACAAATCTCTTCATGAGTGAGAAACAGAGGCTGCCTTCAGCATCTGGGGTCTACTCCAAAGGGAGTTCCTAGATGTGGGCAATACTTCCTCAGCCCCTCTACCAGTAACACCAGTGCTCCTAGTAGCTGTGATGACAGCAAAAGTTCTGTACCTATGTAGTAACCTCACAACATGTCGGTCCTCAGGGGCCACATGAAAGCTGGCCAAAGTCGTTTGTAGCTAAAAAGCAGCCCTATCAGCAACTTGTCTCCGTATCAACTACAAGCACCATGGGATCACAAAATAGAAGTGTGCATAAGATATTCATGAATGGTATCTAGCTGTGCTCAAAACATAAAAACATCAAAACATAAAATGTAGATGTTGAGCTGCTCAGTAAGGTTACATATACTGTTGGACCTCCTTCCAATTTGTGCTCTGCTTTGCAAATTCATTACAGCATAGTTCCCTCAGTGGACTGGAAGTGATTTAATATGCTGCATGCAGTCAAGTATTCAGCTACAGCGAACACACCTGGGCACTGGGTGACAGAGTGCAGAATGAAAGAAATGACGGTATGACTGCTTAAACATTAGGCTGCTGTGTCCCAAATAATCATTGGCATATCTCACTGTGCCTTGGCTACGGTCCACATCCTTCATCATGCAATATCTGGTCATTAGCATCCTCATTATTGCATTCCATGATCCTCATTGTTCAACATCTTTCTTCTCTGCTAGGTTATGAGATGCACAGCAAACCACCAAGATACTCTCATTGAGACGTACCAAAAGAAGCCACCAAATTGAAGCACATAAAATCACAACTTCTGCAGATCTATTGCCTGCTCATTGGGTCTTTGGGTTGACCTTTGCCAAATATTGTGCCTCTGTTCTACATCCTTTAATAGGCTCCTCACATCAAAAAGTGGTCATGTATCTAAAGTGAATCAGTATATATCACTAAAAACACAAGTGGGTCATTCGTAGATATGTATCACAGCCACTTCCCAAAAATTTAAGAAGACCTGCTGTTAAAGAAAGTCATCACTGGTCTGTGAGAGCTCTAACGGCTGGATAATAACTGATTAATATGTTTGTAATTGATCATACCCAGGATGTAGGGCAATCCAGTGATGGCTCTGAATTCAATGCACCTCTCCACCTCACCGTCTAGTACGATAGACCAAAAGGTCCCATGCTTTCTTGAAGCACCTCTTTGATGCAATGATATGTGTAGGATCACACAGTCTACAGCATATCTGTAGTGGATCAACGAGGATGGCCCTCAGGTTGCTGATATGCCATCATTTGTGCTCAGACCCCTCTTTCTCTCAGCTGTAACCTCCTTTGCAGCAGGGTCCCTAAAGTCTAGCCAGATGAGGACTATGGTAGACAGCATCTCTCCTTGGCATTTTATCCAGAGCTTCCTCCTCCAGCTATCCCTCACTCCTTTCCTTGCATCAAATGGCACCTTGGCAGTACACAGCAGCAGAGCCGGTATCCTTTCTCCCCACTGGCCTTTGATTCTGATACCCACATTGCCCTAACTTCAAAGGCTCTGTATGCTACTTCTTTTAAAGTGTGCCAGGGAGGGCCAGCACTGAGCTGCCTGCTTGCTTGAGGCTTTTTAAACTGAGTGAGAATCTGAAGGAATTTATTTCCAATATACCATCAATAAAATACAAATTGTGCCATAAAACTGCAGTCAATTAACTGAAGTTGTTCTCCCAACATCTTCCATTCGGTTGCCATTGGTAAAATGCATAATTTACATCAAGATATCTGATCTGATTTCCAATCCAAAGCCTTCAGTTCTGATTTTATGTTCTTCCCTGTCCACATCTCTAAAATCTTCCCAAACTGCCATATGAAATTTTACCTTCTATGTTCTTTATACAAGTGGAGCATCTTTGTACTAAGTATTTACAAGTTTTGTGCCTTTTATAAATATACTGCTTTACAATTCTTATCACAGAAATAAAGAGAATAACCTCACACTTCTCCATATTACACTCCATCTGTCACTTTGTTGTTCATTCACTTAACCTGTCTGTCTCTCTTTGCAGCCTCTGTACTTACAAGCATATTTACAGCTTGCATTCCCCACCTGGGTTTGTATAGACAATAAAATTGGGTACATTACTCTCAGTTACTGAATCTAAGTCAGTAATATATTTTGTAAATAGCTGAGGTGCTCATATTATTTTTGTTCACTGATCTTTATTAGCTCTCTATCCAGTTTGTCAATATTTTCTAATGAATTTAATAGCATTGTTTCAGCTTTAAAATCCAACCATATATTTTGTCTCACCCCATTTGCAGAGCCTCATCCAGCTGTATGCTCTTTCCCACATACTCCAATCTAGACCTTGTGCATTCTTTCACTTTGCTTTGTCCAACCATTGTGGCAGTTACTTCACTTCTCAGCTCAACTCTCTGCAAATTTCTCCTCAACTCTGAGGCACGGTGACCCTCAGGTTAAACCAACACCAGTTTTCTCTCTCTCTCTCTCTCTCTCTAATAAGAGAGCGGCCCTATGGTCTGGTAAGACAATGGTGACCATTACCTGTGAGTTTAACACACTGAAAGATTATAAGGTTCTTCAGAGCAGCAAGTAAAAATTACTCCACTTACTTTTCCATCGTGAAAACCAATATTTTTTAAAGCTTAAGGTCACTACCACAAATTGTTGAACCATTGTCCATTTTGTTATTCTTACAATAATATACTCCATGTTAAAGACATCTATAGCTGTATTGTCCAAGTAACAAAGGCACAAAGTAACAGTTCACATTGTATAATTTTACTTCAAGAAACCAGTCTTTTGACTAACAAAAAGTATACAGTTATCATGACTTCCATTACCTGTTTGTCTGACATGGTGGTTTTCTCCTTGAACAAACAGAAGATGAGCATAGATCACTCGGATTATCTCGAGTAGTTGAATTTAGTGGAAAACTAATAAGTTCCTCTGCTTCACTAGACAGTTCATCCCAACTAATAGGTTCCCTGGCATCAAAATTCTTTGGAATTAAAAAAGGTAAAAATAGTATTTCATTTGAAAATTAAAAACAATTGCAGTCATAAAATGTTTGTTTATTTCCTCCAATCATTTGATTTGCATTGAATAGAATCTACAACATTTATTTCCTACATGAAAGCGATATAACTCCTATTAATTTACCAGAAATGAAGAGGATGGTTAATAAACAAAGAACAAAGAAAATTACAGCACAGGAACAGACCCTTCGGCCCTCCAAGCCTGCGCCAATCCAGATCCTCTATCTAAACCAGTCGCCTATTTTCCAAGGATCTGTATCCCTCTGCTCCCTGCCCATTCATGTATCTGTCTAGATACATCTTAAATGACGCTATCGTGCCCGCCTCTACCACCTCCGCTGGCAACGCGTTCCAGGCACCCACCATCCTCTGCGTAAAGAACTTTCCATGCATATCTCCCTTAAACTTTTCCCCTCTCACCTTGAAATCGTGATCCCTAGTAATTGAGTCCCCCACTCTGGGAAAAAGCTTCTTGCTATCCACCCTGTCTGTACCTCTCATGATTTTGTAGACCTCAATCAGGTCCCCCCTCAACCTCCGTCTTTCTAATGTAAATAATCCTAATCTACTCAACCTCTCTTCATAGCTAGCGCCCTCCATACCAGGTAACATCCTGGTGAACCCCCTCTGCACCCTCTTCAAAGCATCCACATCCTTTTGGTAATGTGGCGACCAGAACTGTACGCAGTATTCCAAATGTGGTCGAACCAAAGTCCTATACAACTGTAACATGATCTGCCAACTCTTGTACTCAATACCCCGTCCGATGAATGAAAGCATGCCTTATGCCTTCTTGACCACTCTATCGACCTACGTTGCCACCTTCAGGGTACAATGGACCTGAACACCTAGACCTCTCTGCATCAATTTTCTCCAGGTCTTTTCCATTTACCGTATAGTTCGCTCTTGAATTGGATCTTCTAAAATGCATCACCTCGCATTTGCCTGGATTGAACTCCATCTGCCATTTCTCTGCCCAACTCTCCAATCTATGTATATTCTGCTGCATTCTCCGACAGTCCCCTTCACTATCTGCTACTCCAACAATCTTAGTGTCATCTGCAAACTTGCTAATCAGACCATCTATACCTTCCTCCAGATCATTTATGTATATCACAAACAACAGTGATCCCAACACGGATCCCTGTGGAACACCATTGGTCACAGTTCTCCATCTTGAGAAACTCCCTTCCACTGCAACTCTCTGTCTCCTGTTGCCCAGCCAGTTCTCTATCCATCTAGCTAGTACACCCTGGACCCCATGCGACTTCACTTTCTCCATCAGCCTACCATGGGGAACCTTATCAAACGCCTTACTGAAGTCCATGTATATGACATCCACAGCCCTTCCCTCATCTATCAACTTTGTCACTTCCTCAAAGAATTCTATCAAGTTATCAATTCTATGCATCTTCTTTCCAATGTAAAAGAGGTGAAATCCATAAATGCAGACCATGCCCCTGATTGTTTTAATACTATCAGAGCCAAAAGTTAAGTGAAAAACCCAATCAAATTGGGAAATTCCACTAATGAAATCTGAAACAATCATAGGACAAGAGTCTAATTTTTATGATCCAACCAAATGTGAGCATTCCTTGTCATCATTTTCAGGATTAATCATATTTAAATATTTGGACCAAGCTCCAAACATTCAAAAAGATGATGGATAGTTCTACCATGAAAGGAAAGGAACTAGTATTTTGCTACAGGAGTTAATGGCCTCTAGCAGCTTAGAGAAACATTGAGAAGAACTGGTTGAGAAATGAATGGAAAATGTTGGTAAACAATACTGGTTATGAATTCTGTAGCAGGACAGATATATACACTAAGTAATCAAAGTACTGATAGCTAAAATTAGATGAGGAGAAAGGAACAGTGCTACCCTAAGAAGAACTATGTGGGCAAGCAGGATGATTGGCTAGGTCAGTCAGTTCTAATATCCCGTGTACAGCAGCTCATTGCTGTGAAAAAATGTGGCAATGATATCAGATGAGGCAAGATAATAAGAACCAGCCACATTTTCCAGGAATGCACAGCTAAAGCCGGTCATTTACACTGACCTTGCTGTTATATTTTTCTTTACTTTATTCTTTTTTACTCTAAATATACTTTTACTTTGTATCTCAGTCTACTCATGAAGGTGAGCCCCTATTCTTTATATTCTCAAGATTAGTCAAATTGGCTCTGCTGTCTAGGTATAATGATAATGTGCATGTGAATTTGTTCAGACAATACATTATAGGAAAGGTACAAGGAGGAAGTGTTTTCACCCAAATAAAGCAAAGAACTATGGTTGCTGGAAATCTGAAACACGACAGAAATTGCTAGAGAAACTCAGCAGGTCTCAGCAAACAGCATCTGTGGAGAGAAAGCAGAGTTAATGTTTCAGATCCAGTGACCTTTCTGAAGAAGACAGGATAAGAGCTGTTCAGTAGAGTGACACTGACAGAGTAGAAACTTGATTTCAAGAATTGCTATTAGGAAAGATGTTGTTAAATCTGAAAGGGTGCAGAAAAGATTTACAAAGATGTTGCCGGGGTCGGAGGGTTTGAGCTAGGGGAGTGGCAGAATAGCCTGAGGCTGTTTTTCCCTGGAGTGTTGGAGGTTGAGGGGTGACCTTAATAGAGGTTTATAAAATCATGAGAGGCATGGATAGGGTGAATAGCCAAGGTCTTTTTCCCAGAGTCCAAAATTAGAGGGCATAGATTTAAGGTGAGATGGAAAGATATAAAAAAGGGACCTAAGGGGCAACTTCACCCCCCACAGGGGGTGGTGGTGCGTGTATGGAATGAGCTGCCACAGGAAGTGATGGAGGTACATTAGTAACATTTAAAAGGCATCTGGATAGGTATATGACTAGGAAGGGTTTACAGGGACACGGGCAAAATGCTGGTAAATGGGACAAGATTAGTTTAGGATATCTGATTGGCATGGACAAGTTGGACCAAAGGGTCTGTTTCCGTGCTGTACATCTCTATGACTCTATAAACATGGAACTCTATGAAAGATTGGCATGGACTTGGGAGGCAATAAAACATTCAAGGATTTGCAGGGGAAGGGGAGTTTAACAATGGGACAATAGTTGGCAAAGAATGGCAGTCAAGATTTTATTTTGAGAGGAGTCATTACAGAAGATTTGAGGGGAAGTAAGGGAGACAAACTGAACAGAGAAAAATGTTAACAACATTAGCTAAGTGGAATCAGGAAGGAAAGTTGGATAGTAGCAATTTAGTGGCAATAGCTTTAAAGGAACAAAGGGTGGTCTCATGGACAAAATGAAGTTGGAAAGGCCATCAGTGGAAACAGGAGAGAAACTAGAGAGTAATATGTACTCATGCCTAAGACTGGAGTTGGTGGGGTGGGGGTAGCAGAGAAATGATAGGTATCGGAAGGAAACTTACAACAGCAGTTATAATTCATATACAAGTTTAACAGAAAGACGACTGTTAGTTTAACTCAGCAGTCACCAGGTGAGGGGCAAGGTTGACAGAGAGACGACTGGCAGTTCAACCTGGCAGTCACTAGGTGAGGGGCAAGGTCCTTCATGGTAACCTCAGCTGGTTCAGAAATTGAGTCCAGACTAATAGAGGATGATGAGCTCAGTTGTCTGAATGGCTGCTTATGATGCAGAGTAATGCCAATAGCGTGGGGTCAATTCATACCCTGGCTGGGGTTATCATGAAGAACTCTCCTTCTCAACTTGTCCTTTACCCGAGGCACGGTGATCCTCATGTTACACCAACACCTGTTGTCTCTCTCTTTCTAATGAGAGAGCAGCCCTATGGTCTGGGAAGACAATGCAACCTTACCTATAAGTTTAACATACTGAAAGATCACAAGGTTCTTCAGAGCATCAAGTGAAAGTTACCGAACTAAATGTTGCAAACTTATTATTTTATGGGATGTAATCGCCGTTGGCAAGCTGCGTATTTGTTGTCCATCTCCAATTAGATTTGGACTGAGTGGCTTGCAAGGCCCCTTCAGAGATCAGTTAAGAGTTAACTGCATTGCTGTGGGTCTGGAGTCACAAGTAGGTCAGACCAGATAAGGACAGTAAATTCCCTCCACTGAAAAAAGGACATTGGAGAAGTTTTACATTCCAGATTTATTTACAGAATTTAAATTTCAGTAGCCGCAGTTGCAGGATTTAAACCTGTGCAACCAGAGCATAGCTTGTGGCTGATGGATGACTAGTCTGGTGATATTTCCACCTTCTTCCCACATTTGGTACATAGGAACACAAGAAAATATTAGAAGAATATAGAAGAAAATAAAATGATCGAATGGTTGTCAAAAAGATGCATTTTAAGATATATCTTTAAGTAAGATAGAATGATAATAAGCTGGAGGAGATGAGTGGACGGAGTATTTCAGATTTTGGGGCCTAGGTCACTGAAGGCACAGTCACCAGTGGTGGAGTCATTAAAATGGGGATGCTACAGACCTGAATTTGAGGAGTACAGAAATCTGTGAAGATTGTGGGGATGGAGGAGACTACAGATATAGGGAAGGGAAAGGCTGTGGAGGAATTGCAAAACAAAGGTGAGAATTTGAAATCAAGACTCTGCTTACCCAGGAGGAAATGTAGCTCAATGAGCGCGTAGGCAATCAGTGACTGGACTTAGTGCATGACATAACACTGATAGCAGACTTTTAAATTATCTCAAGTTTACACAGGGTAGAATGTAGCAGACTGGCCAAGAATGCATTGCAATAGTAAAGAGGAAATGTAAGCAGCAGATAATCTGAGCAAAAAAGACCAAAGCCAAGTGGTGTTACAGAGCTTGAAATAGGCAATCTTAGTGATGGTGTGAATGAAATTGCAAGTTCATCTCAGGATCAAATAGGGCATCAAGGTTGCAAACAGACTGATTTAATCTCAGACTGTTGCTGGTGAGGAGGATGGAGTCATTAGCTAGGGAATGGTATTCAGAACAGGGACCAAAAACACTATCTTCAATCTTTACAGTATGTAAGAAAATTTCTGCTCATCCAGTACTGGATGACAACTAAGCAGTAACAGGAGAGGAATCCAGAGAACTGGAGATGAGCTAGGTGTCTTATTTATATACTATACTGTTTTAGGATGATATCACTGAGGGACAGAATGTAGATGAGAAAAAGGAGGCACAAAGGATTGTAACAAATTTAAATTCTACTCACCTTCGTTATATCATACCGTGATCTGTAACTATCTGAATTAGGAAACAGAAAAAAAGAGAAGCTTAAAAACTAAGGAAGATCTTTATCATTCATTGCCTGTGCTTATGAGAAAATTCTGTTTATTGGTTCTCAATTCAAACTGAACTAATAAAGCTTGCTTTCACCCAAATGCCGACTAATTGATAACAAATATCTTCATCATTCCTCAGTCAACTTCATAGCCAAAGACAAGTCTAACGTATTTCTATTGCTTTGTTATATAATCAAACAGGTTAAATTCCACACTGCTTTAAAATATTTTCGTTATTATGCAAAGTAAATGAGGCATAGCCCAACAAACAACCAATCTCGTTCCTTCACCTTCAAATTGACAAGAGGTCCTGTGACACAATAATAGCAATGCTTACACTTGTGTCAGAAGCTCCAGATTCAAGTCCTTTTTCCGGGTTTGTGGGTGACAGAAGGAGCACTTAAACTGCGTCATTGATGGGCTGTTGTCAGCCCAGGACTCCTTCCACCAACTCCCCACTATTTCCCAAAGGGACACAGGTATATCTAAATATAGATTTTTAAACAAAAATGTCACTGGATCAAAACTCAGGAACTCTGTGCCGAACAGCACTAGGGGAGAACTTTTACCACAGTCCAAGAGTAACTAGAGGTAGACAATAATGTTGGTCCTGGTGGCAATATCCGTAATTCCACAAGTTCATACATAAAACAAAAGAGATAACTTAAAAAGACAAAAAGTGTGCATTTACTTGAACTAAAAACAAAAGGACTGGAGAGTCTGGAGCATCTGTGGAGACAGAAACCAAGTTAACGCTTCGAGTCCAATAATGACTCTTCTTTGGAACTGATTCAACTTCTTTTAACTATCCTCAGTTTATTATTTATTCCAAATAGCTTTGGATATATCTGCAGGATTCATTTCTCAACTAAATACAATCATACTGTGAATGAGCACAATCTTACCGTTATGACAGATTGATGGAGAAGCAGTTCGTGGCCTGGACTTTGCACTTCTATCAAATGATGAGCATGATAGTGAAGATGAATGCTTTTTCTCACATGTGTTTCTGTCACACTAATAAAAACAAAATAAACTTTAAAATTATAATACTGATATTTTTATATTATTCTTCCAAATAGAGAAGCATAATATCTATCACACAATCAGGGGAGTCACTTATTCAATTTTCATGCTTTTAAGTTAAAGAATCATATGGTTTAGTGAACAGCCAATTGGTGAATTATGAAACAAGATTTTGTCCTGATGTAACGACTGATAATACAATCACAGTTAGATTTCTGTAAGTGGCTAAATTCCTTTAGGGTCAATCTCATTTTCACCATATATCTTCCAGCAGCACAATATTTTATTTGTGGTACTGCCTCTCAAAATAACAGCATTAAAAGTTTTATCAGAATCCAGCAATTTTTTTGGCCCATGGGCCATAATACTTTCATTTCTTTTCCAAGGAGATGTGTAAAATAAAAAATAAAATTCTTGTACATTATTTGTTCATAACCAACTCAGGGCTTCACACTTTCGAAAGATATCCACACATTGCAGAAGGTGCAGAGGACACCAGAGATGAGGATTTCAGTTATGTGCAGAGTCTAGAAAATAAATGGATAGAGCAGAGAAAGATGAAAGGTGATTTAGAAGAAGTGTTCAAAATTATTAAGTGTTTTGGAGAATAGCTGAGGAAGAAACATCTTCTGGCATAGAACTGTCAGAACCAGAAAGCCAAAGATTTAAAGTACTTGGCATAAAAGCCAGAGGTGACACAGTGAGTCATTATATAAAATACACTGCCTGAATGGTTAGTGGAATCAGATTCAAATTAACTTTCAAAATGAAATTGATATGTACTTGAAAGGAAGGAAATTGCAAGGTTATGGAAAAGGAGCCTGGGAATAGGTCTGGTTGGATAGCACTGTCAAAGAGCTGCAAGAGGATGATGGACTGAATTGTCTCTTTCTGTTCTATAAGATTCCATGGGCAAAAAATCTTGTGGGCTTTGGCACCCGAGCTGACAATGGCACCAAATAGAGGTCCCCAACCCACTTTTAATGGGACCCATATCATTGGGTGGCCTCTGAAGTGACCAGCTCCATACTCATGCCCTGGCAGTCTCACAACTTTTTCATTTCAAAACAGAAGACTGACAGCTATCGCCTCACAAAATTATTTAAGTATTTTTGATTAGGGAGGCCCCCTGGAATGGATAGGAAACTTCGTGGAGACATTACTGGGACTGCAGGGTGGCCTTTCCTTCTGTTAGCCACTTGCCACCATAAGAAAGTCACTGCCCAGAAAGAATCCATTCAGCCCATCACGTGGCCCCTCAAAAAAAAAACCAGCTGTCCGTTCTAACCTCACCTTCCAGCAGTCAGTCTGTGCCCCTACGGGTGACAGCACTTCAGGTGCACATTGTATTTTGATAATTGATGCCGAAAGAGGCAAAGTAAATTCTTGACATCTTCCAGCTGAAAAAGGTTTTCCTCTTATTGCTTCTAATCCCTCTACAATCACCTTCAACGAAGCCTTGGTGTCTAATGTCTCCTGATTCCTACTCTAAGGAAACTCCCTTCACAAAACTGGCAATCACCTCACAGCAGATGGTGCTGCCTCTCTACCAGCAATTTGTAACAAGACCCAAAAATCAGCCAATTTGGGCATCAATTATTAAAACTGCTGCTGACCACCATGCATAGGGTTACTGGGTCACCCACGGAAAACAGCCCGGTGGCAGCAGTACGTCACAGAATTTTCCGAACACAAGATCCATTATTTGCTAACCACCTCCAGACTTTACCCTGGTCTCCTTGGTGTCAGGCGAATTCTGCCCCATGTCTAAGTATTGAGAAAATATACTTGCATGAAGTCTGATTAACTCTAAACCTCCATACAAAACAATTTATTCATGTTTGCAGTCATCTTGTATACTTGCACAGTGTGCAATCTAAATGTCTTGATATTTAGTTGAGAATTTGGAATACCCTAGACAATGTTGGTTACTTTAAATGATGTGAAATATGGAACCGACAACAGTTGGATTTAGAGGTACTACCAAGGAGTACTGCTGAGCGAAGGTTGGAGAGCCTGGCTTTAAGTAATACTTCAATAGGATTGACCTATTTCAAAGCTATGTCACGCATAGTTGTGCCTTGAGCTGAGCATCTCTGTTACTGGATGGACATAAACTCCATTGGTAGAATATTCTGTCCAGGGTCAAGAAACTGGAGTGGAGACAGTTTCTGGGTCCTGACCACATTCTGGGAGGTAAGTGATCACAGCTGGTGATTTTTGCAGAGACGGGCTGCTAATTAAGGGTGGGTTTGGTGGCCAATTCATGGATGCGGATAGAGATGGGACATTGCAATGTAATCCTATTTAAAGGCATTACACTAGCCATTACCATTGCCATTGTTTGATGGGAAGATGTAAGTATTTGGTGGGAGGAAGCAGAGGCCTGGCATCCAGGGCATGGCAGCCTCTTCATTTTCCAATACTGACCACAAAACTCTCCTGGAGACTAAGTGGAAGAGAAAGAAGGTTTCTTATCCTACAGCCTGGAAGAAGGAGGCCACGATGCTGAACAAAGGTCTAGGTTGGAGGTATGGTTGGAAGGGAGCGTTCATCAAGGCACCACTGCATCCAATCTAACATTTCTGCACTGTAGGAATGACTAACAGTCATTGCTACTGGGGGTGGCTTGGATTATCTGTATGCATGAATGCTGTTAGTGCATCTATTCCAAGTGCTATTGTATATGACTTTCCATGAGGTGAGTCAATCTATCAATGAAGGATCTCATTCATTTAGAACTCTGAACAACATTGGTGCACATGGGATGAATTAACCTCTCCATTCTCAAGCCATGACCCAGCACTACCTCAGGGAACTCTGACGTGTGTAAGCAAATCTGTTGCTGGTGGTCTAAGTAAACAAATCTTTTAAGTGCCTTCCAAAGCCTGCATTCATGTATGTCTTGAACATTGGTGTGGCATTTGCCTAGTTAAATCAATTGTACCAAAATATTAAGAATGCTTGCCAATTATGCCCCAAACAATATACCCTTCCAGCCAGGTTTCAGGCAGTTATTGAGGAGGGTGAAGATATTACCTCACATTAATATTGTTGTCAACATCATTGGCGCACCTTCAACAAAGCCCAGTGACAGAGGTTGCTTCTGCATTGACACTGTGCCACAGCCTCTGGAAATATGCCCTTCAGCACCTGCATGAAGACAGTGCCTGCTGCTGTATTTCAGCTGTAAGTTGACAGAAAGGAGAAGGCCACCTCCACTTCATCCAGAAGTGGCTGAGAGCTGAGGCACACTGCTGGGCATAGCACAGAGCGGTACACTGAGTTAATTCACTTCTAAATGCGCATTTTATAACTTTTGAAAGAAATTATAAATGGAGGCTCATGACTCTGAATGTCTGAGATTCTGTTTGTCAAAGATGATACTGGAAAAGAGGGAAGAGATTGGGAGAGGGAAACAAAGGTTTTTGAAGGAGAAACAATGAAGCCAATGAATGCGCATTGTTGTTTGTCAGGCAATTGATCCATTCAAGACTGCCTTTTCAATGGAAACTGAAAACAAAAAAATGCTGGAGATCAGTGGGTCAGGCAGCATCCATGGAGGGAAGGCAAACTAACGTTTCGTGTCTACTTTAGCTCTGACGAAGAGTCATCTCATGTGTGGAGGGTCAGCATTTATACCATAGTGGGAGGGGGTAGGTTGGAGTGGAAATGGAGTGGAGGTTTGGTTTCAATGGAAATATTCTCACAAGTGGCTCAATTTGAGTTCCAAATCATGCCACCCGCCTGGATCAGAAGACTCCGGGCATCAAAGGCATCCTGATGAGTCCTGTACCAGCTACACCCATCTTTCTTTGCAGCCAGGGCATCTCAGAATTTTCCATCTTCCTTATTTCCTCTTCCTCTTTTTCTATGTCCTGCCCTTCCTGTTGTCCCAATGCATTATGTCACTCTGGGCCCTCATCCTCTTTGAGGTACACACCTCTCAGGAAAGTCATTTCATAGGGAGCATAGTAGGCTATCACAATGCACAAGATCTTGCAGGACCATACCGTAGGGAGCCACCAACCAATTCAGGCACTGGAACCACAACTTCAGAAGCCTGACGGCCTGTTGGATGGTGATCTTTGTGAGCAGTTTTAGTTGTAACTGCCACTGTGGGGCTCCACCATGGGGCAACATAATGAAACGAGTAACCATCTCCTCAAGGGATAACTGTCACTTTCTAGGATTCATCCAAGAAATTTGAGAAGGACAGAATGAAGAGCTGCCTACCTTGGATTTTTGGAAATGAAGGAATACGAAAGCTGCCAAGAATGTGAGCACGTACTTGGAGGAAGTCCTTGTTGTAGCTGTGGACAACTGAACATTGAGGGAGTGGAAATTCGTCCTAAGGATGCCCAATTGAAAGCTGGAGATCTCAGAGTGCAAAGTCAGTTTCACAAATCAATAGCCTAAGAGAGAGGCAGATGTAGCCTCGAAAAGGGAGGTACAGAGGGGGTTGGCCATTTTATTTATAAGGGGTTCCCAATTAACCATTGTGATGCAGCAGTGGACGTCAGAGTGAGTTCAGAGGGGGAAGGATAGATGATCATCTGGAGAGGGCCAGATATATGGTCTGCAAGATGGACAGCTGTGTTCAAGGTGGGAGCTCATCACCAACGTCCCAAAGGGAATTAGGAAGGGCAATAGAGCTGACCTTACCCATGATATCCACAGCCCTTGAAAGAATACAATTTCTTAAAAAATCCTGCATGACAAAGACAAATGCATTTCGAAGTAATTCCAAGTATGTATAGCTTTCAGACTTATTTGGAAAGCTGTGATGACAGCTGAGTGAATCATTTTTTAAGCTTGAATAAAGGCGAACTTTGTTTAGGAATTGTCTTTTATTCCTTAGATTCTAACCATAGTAATTAATACACTTTATTTCTAGGTCTGAGAACAATATTAAAAGAATGGATAACATTATACTGTGGATACTAAATCATGCACATTTTATTTTTAAGTTATCTTCCTGCCATTTTAAAGGAAGGCATTTACCAGTTTAAAAGAAAACGCTGAGTATCCCTTGAGAATTCTTCAATGTAATTTCAGGGAACATGATCTCTTTATCAAGAATAAACTACAAAAGTACTACAAAACTTAGAGATTTTTATAGTGAGAAAGAAACATATGTTATTAAACTTCAATTAGCGTATTCCTAAAGAGCAGTTAAACCAATGAATTTAAAGATACTTACAGAGCGATTCGTAAAAGTCCTGCCAAAGGAATCTGACTTGCGTGGGGATGAATGTTGCCCATCATCTAAACAGAGCTCAAGTAAACACTTCCTACAGTACGGAGAAAGCGATCGTGATCTGGCTGCTACTGCTGGCTTCTTGCGTTCCTTTTCAGATTTCTTTTCACTGCATGATTTTCCTATCAGGTTAAATGATTTGGCACACCTTGGTCTTCTAAATTGATTCTCCTTTCTTCCACTTTCTGACTGTGTTAAAGAAATAAAGTGTAACAAAACTGTGGCCTTACAATGTGAACAGTTTATTTTGCTTTTTTATTTGGCCCCGAAAACGCTCTGGACTTCCTGTCATTGCGATCCACAGCTTCAACCAGACATGTGGCAAAAACCCCGTTTGCCTGCATATGCAGAGTTTTACACCACATGGCTGAGTTACAGTGGCAACTAATCCAACGAACAGATGTCCTATTACAGGGATAATTGTTATAAATTTGCTATATTGTAACATAAGCACATTATAGCTCCAAGAAATCAGTAAGAATGAAATCAAATATACCATTTTATGCAAAATTGATCTTAAAAAATCAATTTCAAAACTTTGATAATCACAATTTCTTTAATATAGGATCCTCTAAAATTGGAACATTACTACTAAAGACTCACCAGGCATAAACTGGAAGAAATTTTCTTTGGCGATCTGGGGCAGCACTCTGTAATTGTTGTTGTTGTGGAAAACTCCAACTTAGGTGCAATTAACTGAAATGTTGACAGAAATGTTGAATTATCTGTTTAATTAACTGAACTATTCTCCTTATTGCAAAATGTTGTACCATCTAATATTGGAAAAATACCTGCGTTGCAGTGGGGAGCTACAGACCCAGAAATGTCTGGCCAGTGTTCACAATGTTCAAACTAAATTAGTAGGAGATTCACGGGCAGGACAATTTTAAATTTCTGATAAGATGTTGCTGATGGAAACTTGGCAGCGTATATCTATTAAATTGCAATTGGTTGGACAGTTGGCTTGCAATACAGAGTGATGCCAAGTGTGGGTTGGATTCCCACACTGGCTGAAGTTACCATGAAGTTACTCCTTTGCCCAAGGTGCTGAATCTCATGTTAAATCACCGCCTCTAGTGACAGAGCAGCCCTATGGTCTGGTAAGACCATACTGACCTTACATTTTTTTTAATCCATCAAATTATATATTTGTAACACATTGTACTGGTGGTTGCTATATGTAAAACATTGTGGTAATTGCTAGGGCTGATATCAACTATTTTACAGAATATACTGATGATGAACAAAAACAAGCCAGCTCGGCGAGCAAGTCAACAACCTCATCCACAACCCGAGCTACAGATCTTTGCCAATACTTTAAGCATTTAGGACACTGTGGGAAGTTTGTCTGAAATCATACTGGATGGCCTGCCTGAAAGTGTTTATGCGGGACCTGTACGATTTTTAGGACTGGGCTTCATTTACGCATTTTCAGTGTGAGATGTGTTTTTTTTTTAAGTGATACGAATGTGGGTGTAGGAAATTCAGTTTGCAGCGGAATCTTTAAGGAAATGGATGAATGTGCCCTCAAGTGAAATGATGCACAAGCTTTCAGAGGAAGAGTCACTCAACCCAAAACATTAACTGTGCTTTCTCTCCACAGATGCTGCCTGACCTGCTGACCTTTTCCTGCAATTTCTATTTTTGTCCCAAGCTTTCAAGAATTGACAATTTTCTTTGCAGCCACAAGAAAAATAAGGGCAATAAACATGGACACTTCATGTCCCTAAAGTTACAGCAACTGATATAAAAAAATTCATGAAAGTTGCATTCATCTTTCTGTGACTTTGTTTCACAGGATGTGGATGTCACTCACTAGGCCAGCATTTGTTACTTATCCCCGGTAACAGTCACAGAGCTGTAGGGCATACTCTTCAGTCCAACTCATTCATGCTGACCAGATATCCTAACTTAACTTAGTCCCATTTATCTAGTTGCCCTTCCAAGTCTCTGATTTGCTGGAAATTCTGAGAGGAGTAATGCATTTCTTTGCTCTGCAAATGTATCCACCACCTACAATGACCAAGTCAGGAGATAGATAGAATTGTCTTCGCCTGACTGGATGTGTCTATGTCCAAACAACACTGAAGCTTGACACCATTAGGGGTGGACCTAAGAATTCCTTTAACAGATGCTTAAAATAACCACATTGCAAAGTTATTGCAAAGCCATGATCGGTGGGGTGGAACTGGTGGAAGTTTGGGAGGATGAGATGCACAAGTAGTTATAACTGTATTGCAATGACTGCAATTATCATCTATTCCTAAAACACAGGTTTGGAAGATACATGAGCCAAATTGGGAGTTAAAAACTGAAAGAATGGTGAATGCTGTAAATCAGGAACAAAAACAGAAGTTGCCGGAAGCTCAGCAGGTCTGGCAGCATCTGTGAAGAAAAAAAAATCAAAGTTAACGTTTCGGGTCTCGTGACCCTTCCTCAGAACCGATGGTAACTGAGAAAACGTCGGTTTATATGCAGAAAATAGGGAGGGGAAATCGAAGTGAGAGAAGAGCAGTTGGATAGACAAAAGAGTTTATAACAATCAGGCTGGGAGGGTGAATAACAAGGTGTAGAGCTGGATGAACACAGCAGGCCAAGCAGCATCAGAGGAGCAGGAAGGCTGACGTTTTGGG